AAGCGGATTACAACAAAACAACCGGATCCTGTACACACCCTCTTTTCTGAGGCTTCCTCACGAAAATGATGAAAATGTAGCTGCGGCCTAGGCGGCGCAGGGGGGGCGCGCACCAGGGGGCCCAACAATAATTATTCTTTAGAATAAATAATGTTCAACAACGACAGCAACAGCAACAGCAACAACAACAACAACAACAGCAGCAACAGCAACAACAACCACAACAACAACAACAACAACACCAACACCAACACCAACAACAACAATAACACCATCACAAACGACAACAACAACAGCAACAACAATCACGTTACCCTCATGCGCGATTTTTCCACACGAAACATGCGACCATCATGATAACCATCCCATCGTGCGGGACTGTTGTTCTATAGCGGGGTCCGTTATTCCCATTCCCAGATCTCCCGCCCAATGAGGTCTTGCAAAAACCTCATCAGAGGAATTTCAACATATCCCGCCTCGAAAGCTCATGCCCGCGCCTTGCTGCGACGATGCGAGACCGCAAGTGGAACCCCAGCCAAGGGTAAAGCACAAGGAAGTATCGAGCGACAGGATTACCTTGGTGGGGATGGGGGCTGTCGGCGGCGAAACAAGGACACGGCCCTGAATAGAAAGGGAGGAGGTCTCGAGCAGGGCCGCTGTTGTTGCTGGGAGCAGCGCCAATGCTGAAGAGAGTCGGGCGCTAGTCCAGCGTAAAACAAAACGAAGTTTCGAGCTAGAGCGCTTGTTTTGTTGGGACGGCGGTTGTCGGCGGCGGGGAGGAACACCGCCTTGAGTAAGAAGAAAGGAAGTCTCAAGCGGGAGCCGTGGTTTTGTCGGGACGGTGGCTGTCGGCGGCGAGGAACACCACCGCCCTGAGGAAAAAGGGAGGACGCCTCGAGCGGGAGCGTTGTTGTTGCTGGGGGGCGGCGCCGATGAGAGAAATTGTAGCGCGCAGGTCCAAGGTAAAACGGGAGGAAGTCTCGAGCGGAAACACTGGTTTTGTTGAGACGGCTGCTTTCGGCGGCGAGCCCCTGAGCAAAAAAGGAGGGAGTGTCGAACGGCAGCGTTGTTGTTGCTGGGGGGCCGGTTTTGGCGGTCCCCAAGCCGCTCGAGCGTGAGCCTCATTTTCGATGAAATTGCAGCCGGCGCCTCGGCGAGAGCGCCAGGGCGCCTGTAAGTGGTCCAACATGTAGTGTTTGATACTTAACATTCAACAACAACAATCATTCTAAGATTGTTCGCTCTTACTTGCCCGCGTGTCATTCAAAAGGAGTTTCCCACACCCTCGATACCCGCCCTTTTTCTCTTCGATCACACCCCCTTTGGGGGGATTATTTCTCTTTGCGGGGGGCGGCGGGCTTAGACAGGCGGGCAAACCTGAACGGGCGGACAATCCTTCGTGGGCGTACAAGTGCCCGCCATTGGAATTGGCGTGGGCCCTGCAAAAAGAGGATGGGGAAAACGAGGGAGAGTGGGAGGAAGGAGGGGAGAGGGACGAAGGAAGAGGGAAAACGCCAGGAGAGAAGGAGCGTAGAGGGGGGCGGTTGATGAGAGGCAGAGAGAGGGAAAGAGAGAGAGAGAGAAACAAAAAAAAAACAGATACGAGAGGTAGAGAAAGAGAGAGAGAGGGGAGAGAGAGAGAGAGAGAGATAAATAAAGAAAGAAAGAAAGAAAGAGGGAGGGAGGAGGCAGGAGAGGGGAGGGAGAAGGGAGGAGGGAGAGGAGGGAGAGGGGATAGGGCAGAGAGCCATAAGGATGAGGGAAGATAGGAGGGAGAGAGAAGGGAGGAGAGGAGGGAGGAGGGAAGAGCAGGAAGGTACGAGCGTGAACGTTCGAGGAAGTCCTAGGCGAAAGCGCCGTTCCTGAAGGAAGTCTCGGGCGGGAGCCCACGACGGGCGGGCGATCCCCTGACGGGCAGGTCGGGCGGGTGGGACATTCAAGCGGGATGCCTGAATATGGCGAGAGCGCGATTACTAAGTAATTTGTAACGGCGTCCTTGGCGCAGCGTGTTTCCTGAGCGTCGAAAGCGCGATTTCTGTATACATTACATGGAAGTCACAGGCGATAGAGCAATTCCTGAATAACATGTGAAGGGTTCTCTGGCGGGAGCGGGGGTCTTGATTAAATTGCGAGGAAGTCTTGATTCAATTGCGAGGAAGTCTCAAGCGGGAGCGCCGTCCCTGAGTAAATTGTGAGGACGTCTCAGAGGGGAGCGGGGGTCCTGACTAACTTGCGAGGAAGTCACAGGCGGGGAAGTCTCAGGCGGAAGCCGTTGTTGTTGTTGTTGTTGTAATTGTTGTTGTTGTTGTTGTAATCCAGGGGGCCAGGGGCCCAGTTTGAGCACCAAGACTTCGCCTGTCAAAAACAGGGTGCGAGCGTCGAGGGGCACACTTTGATTGAGGAAAAACAGTATGCACCGGTGAGGGGGGATCAGCAATAATTCTTCAGAAATGATAGCTCAACAACAACAACAACAACAACAACAACAACAACAACAACAACAACAACAACAACAACAACAGAAACAACAACAACAACAACAACAACAACAACAACAACACCAACAACAACAACACCACCAACAACACCACCAACAACAACAACACCACCAGCAGCAGCAGCAGCGGCAGCAACAATAGCAACAACAGCAACAACAGCAACATCATCAGCAGTAGCAACAGCAACAACAACAGCAACGACGACAACAACAGCAACAGCTACAGCTACAGCAACAGCAACAGCAACAGCAGCAGCAACACCACCACCACCAGCAACAACAATGCCTCCCGGATGGGGTCGAAGTAAACCGGGTCGCGGGATCGTGCCGGCCATGCGTCGGCAACATCGACGATGCATGGGCGACGTCGGCGTTGAAACAAGCGGCTCCATATCGAGCCGCATCGCCGATGCATCGGCGATGCGGCGCGATCCTCCGTCCCATCTGCTCCGGCCCCATCGCCTTTGAACTCAGACCTCTCCCAGGTGCGTTCAGGCCAGGACTTCGGGCAAGATCCAGCCGTGGCGCCGAGGGCTTTCCGAGGACAAGCCTCGACGCTGGCGGAGCCGGCGCCAGGCAGCGGAGCAGGCGGTGCATTAGCACCCGGCCCTTGCGCAGCGCCAGCACGGACGACATCGGCACGGCGCCGCCCTCTGGAACAACACGGGCGCTGCCCGACGGGGCGCCGTGGCCGAAGAAGGCCTGCGAGACCCGGGCGACCGCCCTGGCGCGCTCCGCAAGCAGCCGCTCGTGCGCGTCGTCCTCGGGCAGCCTGGGCGCCTGCGCCAGCTTCCCGTTCAGACCTGGGAGAAGGAAGATGGATCGATAGATCTACCCTTCCCTCGGTTTCGCCATTTCGGGCCTTCTGGGGGGCCCTCGTCGCCACGGCTGGATTCGCCTCGAAATGCTGGTCAGGACGCGCCCGTGGAGAGATGTGGGTTGAGCAGCGGCACGGCAGGTTCGTGTCGTGCAAACTTCGGCGTTGGTTTCGAACACCGCGGGGATCGTTCAACCTTGCACGATCGGCCGCTGCCCAAGCGTCGGATGGTTCAACATCGACCCATTCCGGGTCGCCGGCGGCGTCCATCGTGGAACGCTGGCGGCGGGGTCGCCGCCGGTCGGTCGACACGACGCGAACCTACCAGCTCGGCATCGTGGCGCGCCCCGAAGACCCTCCAGGTCCAGCAGCGCCTCGTAGGCGCGCTCCACGAACAGCTGCGCGCCCCAGCCCCGGAAGGCGACGCCGAGCGCCGCGCCCGCGCGCGGCCCCGCCGCCTCCGCCGCCGAGGCCGCGCCCCCCGCCGCGCCCCCGTCCGCTGCGGCGCCGCCCTCCGCCGCGGCGGCCGGGCCGGAGATGTCGAGGCTGCGCCGCATGCCGGCGGGGGACGCGTAGCTCTGGGAGCCGAAGGGCTTCACCGCCGGGGACCTCTTGGAGGCGGGGGCGCCCTCGCTCGCCTCCGCCCGCTCCCGGGCCGCCTGCTCCGAGAGCGGCGCCGGCCGCGGCCGCGCGCCCGCCGCCCCCTCGGCCGGGGGCTCCTCGCCCGGCCCCGCCGCCCCCTCGGCCGAGGGGGGCGGGCCCTCCTCGCCGGCCGCGGCGGGCTCGTCCGCGGGGTCCCCGTGCAGCAGCTCCCGGAGCCGGGCGAGCGCGAGGGCGTCGGGCACTGCGTGCTCGTCGCTTTCTTCGGCGCTGGGGGGCAGGGGGGCGCGGTGCTGGCTCGCGGAGCCGTAGCCCACGGCCGCGATCTGGTTGAGCTGGACCTTCACCACGAAGTCCACGTCCGCCCGCGTCATCAGCTGGTCGTGGCCCGGGAGCCTGGACGCGTCCTGCTCGAACTGCCCCGCCACGTGCCCGTGGTCCGGCGCGGCGCCGGTGATAATATCGCGGTGGGCCAGGGTGAAGGGTGCCACCCTTGCATCTTGCAGCTGCTCGCTCGCGGTGCCCGACTCCTCAAGGGGCGGCTCATGGCCGCGCGCCAGCGAAGTCCGCCGCCCCCAGTTTGGGGTCGCCAGGCGTGTGGCGTGCGTGTGGCTCTCCCCCGCGATGATCCTGGCATGTTGAGAGAACGACGTTGCCGACTCCGCGCTGTGCACTCAAAGCTGGCAGAGTTCTCACATCATCATGCAGAGTTGATTCGAGCACTTCGGAAAGACGGGTAAGAGTACAATACCGAGGATGACCATGGAAAAAGAGGAAGAGGAGGAGGAGGAGGAGGAGGAGGAAAAGGAGGAGGAGAAGGAGGAGGAGGAGGACAAGGGAAAGCAAATCGTGGGCGGCCAGGCGGATAAGAAGAAGGCGGAACCTATGGCCTCGTCGCCCATGTGTCCGAAATTCTATGGCCCGCCGATCGGAGGCGACGGAGGGTGTTGTCCAGCCATGCCCCCCGCGAAGCGGTACGCATCTCGATCGACAGAGGCGCTGCAGCCAGACCTGGCGGCAGGTCCACTTCAGCCACGTCCCCAGGAGCACGTCCTTCTGCCCTGGCCTCGAGCTGCTGCGCCGCCTCGATCATCTTCTGCTCCACCTCCGCGAGCGTCAGGGCTGGCGAGCCTGGCGTTCGCGGTCGGGTGTGGGTCTGAAGCGCCTGCGCGGCTTGTCGGCCCAAGTCCGCCAGGTGCCCTGCGGGGAGCTGGGCCGCATGCGCCGAGAAGCCCCGAGCGACCTGCAGCATCTGCTGCTCCAGCGCGCCCATGGACAACGACGGCGCGGCCTGCAAGCCCGGCGGCGCAGCGTTGCCGTGCGCGCGGTCTGCCGCCGCGGCCGCTTCTGCCGCCGCCGCGACGTGGCGCTGGTGCTCAACGGCATACCGCATGGCTGCGTGGTGCACCGCGGCGGCATGCTGCATGGCAGCGTTGTGGCGCATGGCCGCGTGCTGCGCCGCGGCGGCGTGCTGCGCCGCCGTGGCGTGCTGCATGGCGGCGGCAAGCCGCGCTGCGGCGTGCTGCCTGACCGCATCCTCCACCGCTGCCGCCGCCGGGGGAGCGCTGCGGCTCTCGGCCAGCTCCGCCCCTGCGGCGCCCCGGGGCGAGGCCGCGCCCGGGCGCCCCTGCCCCGAGCCCGAAGCCTGCGGCGCCGCAGAGGGCGCCCCGCCCGGCCCCGCCGGCGCCTGGCGGCTGGCGGGCGACAGCCCCGGATGCGGCGGCAGCGGGCCGTACTCGAGGGCTCCCGGGAAGGGCGGCAGGCTGGCCGGCGGCGGCCCCGGCGCGAAGCCCCGCGCCCAGTCGTGCGCCCAGTCGTGCAGCAGGGGCGGGCGGCCGGGGGCGCCGGGCACCGGCGGCAGCCCGCCGAGGCCCCACGGCGCGAGGCCCAGCGGCGGGGGCACCTGGGCGCCCAGGGGCGGCAGGGGCAGCGGCGGCGCGTAGCTGGGCGCGCCGGCGTGGTCCGGGGCGGCCAGGCCCGGGGGCGGCACCACGCCACCGAGCCCCGCCGGTGACCGCGGCTGCGCTTGCGGTGCTGCAGCGGCCGCCGCTGGGGACGGCTGCGTCGCGGGAGGCCCGCTGGGCGGGGCCGCCTGTGGGGGGCTGCATGGGGGGCCACCCAGAGCGGAGCCCTGCTGGAACGTCGGGGCGATCGGATCGACCCCGCTCGCTGCAAGTGGGGCAGCTAGTTTACGAAAAGACATCCTGGGGGTGTGTGGGGTTGCCAAATTGTTCATGGCTCTCGCGCCTGCTGCTGTTGCCCTCGTTCCTTCACGCGGGCCTCGCGCTTCTGGTGCTCCTTCTTCTCCCGCTCGAACGCCTCCTGCTGAGTAACGTCCGGGCTCCAGTCGGCACGGATGGTGGCCGAATCACCGCCGAATGTGTCGTCGTTGACGGCGCGCTTTGGCCCCATGGCACGGGTTGCTCTGCGGGGGGGCAGAAACATACGCGCACTCATACAACACCACCCTCCACATCCTCCCTCTCAGGAGAGCGGGAGGAAAGTAAGTATGAGGACAGTCGACATGCTGAAATGAGGAAAACCAGCAAGGAACGAAGTCCCTGCGAAGCGGATAGCCCTGGGAGGAGCCAAACACCAACGAGACCCTTCCGAACCCGGTCTGCTCCTTCAAAAGATACCACAAGACAGCTTGAAGCCAGGAATCTTGGAGCACATCCTCCGTCGATCTCCGAGGGAACTCGAGTGCCCCCGACCTTGTGCATGCCCCCGAGGCCATCGGGGGATGGGGAAATTCCGTGGGGCGCCTGCCGGCATGCCGATCTCTGACCTGGTGCGCCTGCTGCCTTTCAGCGTATGGACTGTATCGGTATGCTGGTCGCCCCCCCAACACCCGTGGAACTCACATAAGGCTCGATGGCCGGAGCGCGTTGACAAACTCGCGGCGCGGCCTGGGCCCAATGGCTGCGCCACGGTGGTCTCAACCTGCTGGCCGGCGGCGCGCGCGGGAGCCTGGGCCGCGCGGGAACGGGCCAGGCCCCTTGCAGAAGCAACTCCCAGGATGTCTTCGTGAGACGGGCTGAGAACTAGAGTCGGGATGAGTTTGAGAGGACACGCGAAAGGACACAATAACCTTCCGTAGGCCACATGGCCATAAGGATGCAGAAGGCATTTGTATCGAAACACAAGACACAACGAACGGAATCCTTGATCTGGCAGGGTCGACCTACTGATGAAACTCAACTGCACTGTAAGCCCGACTACGGGGCCATCAATCTGGAGTAAAGGCCAGACTGAGGCTGGGATGAAGCGGGACTGAGCCGGATGAATCGAGAGTATGCCAGGTCGGGCCGGCTTGGGCCCAGGGATCTACTAGCGCCAATGCCGAATTGAACCTGCCAGGAGTTGCATCCTAGTGCGGAAGAAGGCGGAGGGGGACGAAGGACCCTGCGTGATCATCAAACTTCCAAAATGGACGCACGCATCTTGATCGCATCATGTCTCACGCTCCGCACGAAGGCGGCAAGCTACAGAGAAGGGTAGCCAACCCATGCGGTACGTGTGGCAACATCAAAAGGCACACAATGCCCTCGCGAATATTTGAGGGAAACCAATACTTTCACGCCGGCGATAACCATATTGTGCAGGCACTCCAGCGCCTGACAATCATTTGAACAACCTGGGGACCCACGGCATCAAAGGAGGAGGACCACGACGAAAAAGATGATGAGGAAGAGAAAGAGCGACTGGGCCGAAGGAAGAAGAGTGGAAGAGGTCGGCTGACGTGGCTGGTTCCCCGTCGCCTCCTGGCGCCAGGAGACGCACACGCCTTGAAAGAGCGGTGCTCGGCGGCCGGGCCGGAACTGGCTGCATACGGCAGATGTCGCAAGCCCCCCTTTCCCTATCCCCTCCCATCCGTCTCACTGCACCGACCTTGCAGACTGCTCCAGCGGATTTTGGAATGGATTTCTGTCAATACAAAAGTCCCGAAACAGGGAGCGAGAAACGAAGTGAATTTCGCTTGGACTGCATCTAGTCTTAATTTCTGGCTAACAAAATCCTTGCGAAATTCACTGCGACATCTGCAACGCAATTCTCCTGAGCATACCACGAATTTTCGTCCGCGCGAAATCCGCTCTGCGATGTTGGCGCCATGTTGGAGGCCTGGAAATGGGCACCAACACCAAGACAGGGGGTTGCCTCCACAGGGGGAAGATGATCCTAGATTTCGGTGTTGGTGGTAATATCGTGGCCACCCTGGAAGCCAGAATATTACCACCATCACCGAGTTCGGGATCTTCTTCCCTCGGTGGAGGCACACCGCCGAAATTGGTGTTGGTGCCGACCTCTGGGCCTGCGACTATGACCCATCCGAGCTGAGAGGAAGGAAGGACGAGGAAGGGGTGAAGAGGACCCAGACACGGTGATGTCTTAATCCTCTCCGCGCGCGGCCCCCAGAAGTCCGGACCCCGTCCCCCTCCTCCTCCTCCCTCCTCCCCTCCTCACTCCTCCTCCTCCTCCTCCTCCTCCTCCTCCTCCTCCTCCTCCTCCTCCTCCTCCTCCTCCTCCTCCTCCTCCTCCTCCTCCTCCTCCTCCTCCTCCTCCTCCTCCTCCTCCTCCTCCTCCTCCTCCTCCTCCTCCTCCTCCTCCTCCTCCTCCTCCTCCTCCTCCTCCCCAGAGCGGTCTGGAACGCTCTGGGAAGGCCTCGGGTGCGCGTGTTCGGATGGGGGTCGGCGCTTCGTCCCGAGCCAATTTCCCGACGGCCCCCCGGACGCGGCGGGGAAACCCCTCGAGGAGGGGGGGCCGAGAACGGCCGACCACCTCCCGCCGCGAGATGCTTCCACGACGCCAAAAAAAAAAACGACAACCTGCGTAAACTCTCGGAGCTCCGCGCGGGTTGCTTGGGGATCTGCGCTGCAGGCCCCCCCGGGCGGCGCCGCCGGCGCCGCCCCTGGCGCGCTTCGCCCGCCAGGGAGGCAAGAGGGGCCAAGCGCAACATTATTCCAAACAACCGGGCGGAAATGCGAGAGCTTTATGTTGCTGCACTTCCCTGATGGTCCGCTACCGAAAATTTCCGGTAGCGCTCCACAGAGATCGGTCGCTACCGAAATACCGAAATGCAGCGCCCAATACCGGTATCAGAGCGTTCTGACATCCGCTAGTTCAACGCCCTCAAACGAAGATCCGGTCGCTACCGAAATTCGGGGTGCGTCGAAATCGCTACCGAAAATTTCCGGTACCAGACCACCTGGGTTGCGTTTCCGTTCGGCGGCACGCCTGGGAGTGAGTGCGCAGGCTTTCTCAGAGGGCGGCGGCGGAAGCCCCCTGGCCATGTGAGACGCCGTCTATGTCTTCGGGGAGGATCGGGCAGCTTCTCAGCAGGCCGAAGGGCCTTCCGAGGCTTCTGAGAAGGGAGGAGGAGGAGGAGGAGGAGGAGGAGGAGGAGGAGGAGGAGGTAGGAGGTAGGAGGTAGGAGGTAGAAGGTAGGAGGTAAAAGGCAGGAGGCAGGATGTAGGAGGTAGGAGGTGGGAGGTAAAAGGCAGGAGGCAGGATGTAGGAGGTAGGAGGTGGGAGGTAGGTGGAGGTAGGAGTAGGGAGCCCCCTCTGACTTCTCCCCTGGGCTCGCCGCCGATTCGTCGAGGAAAGGGAATAGAGGAGTCGACCCGACGCCCGCCGCCTCCTTCCCCTGCTGCCTGGACGACCGGGATGGGTGCGGAAAGCATGCTTATCACGCTCCACAACACATGCTGTCGACAACCGACAGCGCCCGCTGTTGGGCGGCCGGTCGTCCAACTCAAACGTACAGCATGCGCGGGGATACCGACAGCGAGTCCACTGCAAAATGCGCGGGAGCTGCTGTCGGTCTTCGTACCCAGTCTTGACGTCGGCAGCCCAGGCGGGAGAAGTCGGATCGGCAGAAATCGGCAGGGCAATAAGGCCTCCATCGAGAAGCCGAAACCCAAACCGCCATCCGAAGTCGAATCGAACCGTAATCGGCATCGGAACCGAACATCGAACCGAATCGAGACGGAGTCGTCGAGAGGATCCCCGTCGACCCGACGCCGCCCCCCCCCCTCAAGGCGACGCGAGGCTGTCGGCTACACGCAGGAGTGACCCTAGGCAGGAGTGGCCTCTGGTGCGCGGCCACAGGGGGGGGGGGGCCCTTGGGAACACCACCAGGCGCACAAGCCGCTGCCATCGCAGCACAATCGACGAGCGGGGGGCCCCGTGAGGCCCGCACCCGTGTGGCGCTCGGCGGGCCGTGCCCGCGGGGCGCGAGCGCCGCGGCGTGGGCCTTCGTCCAGGGCCGCTGCATGCCGCCCACCGGGGAGGAGGGGGGGGAGGTTGGAGGAGGACGGGGCAGAGGAGGAGGACGAGGAAAGGGAGGTTGGAGGAGGACGGGGCAGAGGAGGAGGAGGAGGAGGAAAGGGAGGAGGAGGAGGAGGAGGAGGAGGAGGAGGAGGAGGAGGAGGGAGGAGGAGGACGACGACGAGGAGGAGGAGGAGGAGGACGAGGAGGAGAGGAGGAGGAGGAGCGAAAGGTCACTCTTACGTGTAGTCGAGGCCTGGGGCGGGGGGGGGTCCTGCCGACGAGGGCCGCGACGTCGAGCGCCGCCATGGCAGGGGTCGCCTCCGCGCCGCGCGGCAGGGGCCGGCCAAAGGCCCGAGCAACGGCCGCACCAGGGCTGGCCAGAGGGGCCCTCCTCGCATCCCCCCTTCCCCTCTTTCCCTCCCCTCCCTTCCCGCCCCCATCCCCCCTCCCCCCTCCTCATCCGCCTCCTCCTCCTCCTCCCTCCTCCTCATCCTCCTCCTCCTCTTTTCCTCCTTTCTTCTCCTCCTACTACTACTCCGCCTCCTCCTTTTTCCTCCTCCTCCTCCTCCTACTACTACTCCGCCTCCTCCTCCTCCTCCTCCTCCTCCTCCTCCTCCTCCTCCTCCTCCTCCTCCTCCTCCACGTCCCAATCATCCGAGAACAGACCCCCTCGAACCGTAGACAGCTCTCGGCGGGAGGGCTTTCTCCTCTGGCGGCCCCACCGAAGCCCTCCCCAGACCTCGGGGCCGCCAGCAGACCGGCTCAGGATGAAGAGCCCGTTTCCCGGGGAATGGGTCGAGACCTCTGGGGTCGAAGCCGCTATGACAGAGTCAAGACGCCCAGGGGGTCAGAGCAGGGCCTCGAGGCGGGCGAGACATGCTCGGAAGAAAACCCGGGACCGCCGTCATCGAGAACCCACCGTGAACACCCATCCCTCGGATTTGGCGCGTTTGAATGTCGTCCAGCTCAGTGGCGCTTCCGCGTGGCACCTCCCAGGGTTCGCCCCCCCCCCCCTCCCCTCCGATGGGTTCTCGGGTTCTCTGTGGCGGTGCTGTTTGTTTCTCTTCTGGAAGGTGTGGAAGGGAGGGGAAGGATAGCGCTTGTACACCTCTTGCTGTTGCATTTGCTCTCCCTTTCTCGTCTTGCCCGTTGTCTGGGCTTCCAAGTGCTGCGACCATCGACTGGCCGACCGATGGAGCGGGGGAGGGGTGAAAGAGGGAGGGGGGCCTCACCAGGTTTCTGGGCGCTTCGGGTGCGTCTCCTGGGGGATCATCGACGGCCGTCCCCCTCCTGAAGAATTTTGAGGCACCAGTGGTCTACCGACGCAGCCATCCCCCCGCCAGGCGCAGTTGCCCCGTGGGGGGGGGGGGGATCCCGCTAGCTGAACAGAGCGGAGACGACCCGCTGGCCCTCCAGGGGGCGGGGCATCTTGGGGCCTCCAGCGCCCCGGGAGGAGGAGGGGCAGGCGCGCGCCACGGCCAATCAGGACAGGGAGGGCCCGCGGCCTGGCGGCGCGAGCAGGCAGCAGAAGCGCGGCCACGCTCGCGCTCGAGGATCGGGAGGCGCCGAGGCGCCTCCCCCTGCCCCCCGGGAGCCCCCCCCCCCCCGAAGAGCCCCGCAGGCCCCCCCCCTCCACCCCCCCCCGCCGAGGCAGACGAAGGGCGAGCGTTGGCTGCCCAGGGGGGGTGCAGTCCCAGCGTGGATGAGGCCTGCGCCGTCCT